TGATGGAACATCACCCGATCAGCCAATCGTCTCATCAAACGCTATTAGCGTCCCTTTTCAATAGTAATACATATTCCAATTTCTCGTGGAATCCTCTTTTTCCAACATCTTCCACTCAAAAATATTCTTCCATCCACGAAGCACCGATCATTCTCAACCTTTACTAAAAAAAAATGAACTTAGGGTGCGTTTGGTTCACGGAATGTAAGATTACCAGTGGGAATAAAAGATTACCAAGGAATAAGAATGTAAGATTACCAGTGGGAATAAAAGATTACCAAGGAATAGGATTACTGGGAATGTTGTATTTTGTGTTTGGTTGGTTTAACAGGAATGTAAGATTACCGTGTTTGGTTAAAGGAATAAAAGATTATTGGAATGTATATTTGACCAAATTGTCCTTATTATATATTTGTATAATATTACAAATTGTAAAATATTTATATATTTTCTTTAAAAAATTAAATTCATAATATTTATATAATTTTTTTACAAAATTAAAAATATAAAAAAAGTTTAATGAAAGGGTAAAAAAAATTTAATCCCTGAACTTCGTATAAAATTTTAATTATAGATTTTTTTTGTAAATCTAAAATAATTTAAGGATAAATTTGTTATTTAATATTCGTAGAATTTTTATTATTCAATGATAGAAGAATGATATTTTTGAAGAAAAAAAATAAAAATTTAAGGGCGTTTTAGTCCAAAACACCGGTAATGTTACAATACCTAAGGGAAGGGAGGTAATGACATTCCCGGTAATATACCATATAAAATCTACTATTGATAATAAAACATTACCGGGAATGAGATTCCCGGATGTTAAGCCCTCTCTAGACTCTGCAGGGACAAAAGTTCAAGTGTAGATAAGTATTTTACTTTTTTATTACATTAATTGAATTTAATCTTGTGGAAGCAATGACCTTTTAATGAATTGACCTAAATCTGGTGGGGGAAAAAGCATTAAAATAATAGTTATAGTTGGTGAGTATTAAAATCATAACAAGCCTTGATAAAAGACAATGATAAAACAAGGGAACAGCTTGGAAGGAAGGAATAGAAACTTTTAAATGTACTCGTCGCCTGTCTGTCATTGTTGTTGTTGTTCAAGGTTTGTGGTAGTAAGACATGAGTTGTAGGAATATGTGCAATTTTACTTCACTGCTTGCGATAAAATAGTGAAGCCCGAGGTCTAGTGCTACGAGCCTAAACTTGTGCTTGCTCATAAATATTAGCCCCTTCTTGGCCCTTTCCTCCCATCTCCGTGTCGATAACAAATAAATTAAAGTAAAAGGGCTAATGGATGATTTTCAAAATAGACAAGGATAAAAATCACAACTAGACCAATTTTTCCTGTCTGCCAAAGTAAAAATAAAATAAAGAATAAAACAGTTTATGTCAGTCTTTAATATTCCTATGTCATCTTCTACATAAAAAGTTATTTTTGGGCTTACAAGAACGTACTGTTTCTTTCATGGCTGCTTTTGAAACGATGAATGGTCCCTATTAATGGCGGTTTGGGCATTGTCAATATTGCCCGGTATTCGGAATTTGGAATTTTCTCCCCAGAGGAATCAACGAAGATAGACAAAGCCTACTGATAAAAAAGAACTGGAAAATGACTCCTGGGATTGTTTCATCCTTTAGTGATGCACGACCAGGGTTAAATGAAGAAGGGCGACAGTTAAAAGAGAGAATCATCGAGAAAATGTCAATTTCTTTTAACTCTTTGGGAACCGTTATATTTCTTTATATATAAAAAAAGGGGAATCAACAGTGTTTGCGGATGGACCATCTCCCTTCTCCCTTGTCTGTATTATCCCTCAATATATTCCACATATTGCAAAAAGTCAAACAAGTTTGGTTAAATTTGCTAGCACCATTCGAGAGTTTCTGCATATCTGGATCGAAGTCGCTGTGCATTTTACTAAATTCTGCATTTCGAAATTCAAACGCACGGGATGTGGCAATATAGTTTACCTTTTGTATATTTGGTTTCTCCAATCGGTTTAGTTTACAGCAGAAGACGGGACTTTTCATTATATTTGGCCACGTTCTGGGTTCCTTTACCAGCCATGTCTGGGGCGCCTACCTGGCAGACTGTACCCTGACTGTATTGTATAACTCTAGTCATTTCAAAATCTATAGACTCTTATTAAGCCATGTAATGAAATCATAGGTTCAAGTAGATCTGCTGCCTTGGCTTCTGTAATATTGTCTTTTTATGGTTGTCCCTGTTAGCCCTAATTTTTCAAACATTTAAAGAGCGTTACTACCACCTTGGAACAATCATCTAAATGCAAGTCATGAGCACCCATATAAAGAACATCACATGTCCCATTCTGATACGTCAAAATTAGACAGTTAAGAGCCGTACCCATTTAAAAAGCTTTTTTACATAAAGCAGTGGTCCATTTGATGCTAACAATGGATCATATTTATGTAAATTAGCAAACCGGTCTGTTTTACAGCACAGCAGTGGGCATTGCCAACTTGCCCTTGCACTTATTGGGTAGGGTGCACACCAATGCAAATCGGAATCGTCACTGGAAAAAAAACTCTGGTGAATCTGATGAGCTACTCTGAAAAATAAACACCTTTATTCAGTGAACTCAAAACCCTTTTGATTCTGAGAATTGCCATCCTTAATGAGGTTAGGGAAAGGAGATAAGGGACCTAATTTCAACAAATGAAATAATTGGGGGGGTTTAGGTAATTTTGGTTTGTGTTTCACATGGCTCGTCGTTTTGGTCACAAACAAAAGCCATTAACAAAGAGGGTCTACGGGGAGGAGATAAGGGACTCGATCATTCTCTTATTCTTTATCACCTCTTAGATCCCTAGTCCCCACATCAGTTTCACCATTACCACCATTATCCTTTAACCCAACCACTTACCCATCAAGCTTGGGGTCCAGTTTATGCTGTCATTTTGGTTAGGCCCTCAATTATGAGTTTGTTTACTTCCAACTGTTCGATATTTCTTTCTCTCACTTCAATGCCTACTTGACTTGTGTCCATCACGCTGTTTATTGTTTTCCTTTTCTCCCTTCAACATTCTTTTTATCCAATCAAATGTTTTCCTATTTCCCCACTACCCTCCCTTAATTTAATTGTTAAAGATTGCTTTTTTATTTATCATACACTCTACTTACAAAAAGGCTGGAAACTTTAGTTTTAAGTTCCGTCATTCTTATAAAAAGCAAAAATGAAAAAGATTCTCTTTTACTCTTCCTTCACTCCAAACACATTTGTATTTAAAAGTGTTTTTTTATATTTTATTAAGAGAATTATACAAAAGCTTGGCTGTTCTAAATGTCAAAGCAAATATTGACATGTTGAATCATTTTCCACGAAAATTTCAGATATGATTCAGTATTTGTATATTGACACTGTAAAAGAAATTAATTTCTCTCATTAATGATAAGAAGAGAGAAAAAAACGGCCAATAGATTAATGGTGAAGGACAGAGTCACCTAACACATATATTAGTTTGATTTCTAATTAAGGATGTGCATTGTATATTCAAACTGAGTAAAAAAATTGAGTTATTCGAATTGATGAGTCATATAATATAACTCAATTTTTTAAAAATAAAAATCCGATTCAAGTCGAATTTATGAAATTCGAGTCGAGTCAAATTATTAGTGTTTCTGCTTAAATTTATTTGTAAATATTTATAATATTGTAGTACTAATTGATTACAATTTAAACATTTTTTCACAATCATACATGATATACATGTATATATTTCTTCATATGTGATATACATATATCATATAAGCTGAGAGTCTCGACTCAAACTTAAAAATCAATTTATTAATTATTAAAATTTTGTTTTATAACTCAAATTTTATTTGAAAGTTGTAAAGTTATGAATTGAGTAAAAAAATTTAACATCAAATCGAGATAAAAATTTAACTTTTCAAATTGACTCGAATTTTACTCGCCCTACTTTTAATCTAAAATTATATATATAACCCGTATCTCATTATAAGTGCAAAAACATATTAGTAAATTATTAAGCATGTATCAAGTTTGAGTCCTTGTGTATACATAAAATGGATACTCGTCTATCAAAGTTAAATATATGATCCGAATAAGTCTAAATTAGTCAGAACAAATGTTTGAGAACTAAAAAGACAAAAAAAAAAAACTTAGTCTACATGATAAAGAAGAAAATCATAAAGTGTTGGATCTCAATTGTCTCACTTTTTCACCATACAATGAAGAAGCGAGGAATGTGGGTGTCCCCCACACCACATGGCATCATGAACCTCAGTTTTAAGAGGAATGACCTTATAAGACTAAGGTCAACCCATTTGCATTATGTTTCTCTCATATACTCTACTCAACATCAATTTTTTTTTCAGTAAGGACATGTATAATCATCAAGAATCTAGCAACTCCACTTCCTGGGTTCAAGAATCAGACGGCCAGGATATTCTAAAATGAACACAAATATTCCGATGCATTTCAATATTTGGTTGTCGCAATGGATGATGATTTACCTTTTAGCAATTCTTTTTTAAATAATAAAACCAAGACAAATCTACAGATAGCTGAATAAGAATATACTTGTTAATTTTCTACTGTTACAGAAAATCGTGATTAATCTACAATATCTGCAAAACATTTATTTCCCGAGATTTTATTGTTATCAATTTAATGACAATAATAATAGACAATTAATTCATAATTATTCGGAGAGCGAAAGTAAAGAAAGACAGTGAATGGCATCCATGTTACTTTGCATATTAAAGCTGGATAATCTAATCTGCGTTTTCTTTCGTAATTAGAACAATTACCCATGCTCTTTACTCTCTTTTTATGCATCCCATAAATGGACTCATATTTCATCGTTCATAAGAGCCCCTAACTTTATCGTTTTTCACAGAAAAGCCACAGAAATTGAAACAAAAACTAAATTCTTATTTCTCTTTATAATTTGTTTACGGTTTTTTTTTTCTATGTTCATTCACTAAGAAAACAAAGCACGCACCCTTCCTTGTAAAGAAAACTATAATAAATTATCAGCTTTTCCCCCTCTAAAGCTTTCTTTTTCATATACCATAGAAAAATGGAGAGCCAAACAACTGTAAACGAAGAATCCAGGAATCTATCGCCGTGCAGCAGTGGAAGAAGAAGCAGTGCAAGCAGTCATGCAAGTTCTCCCGAATTCGAGTTCTGGATGGTTCGAAATCCGGCTTTTCCTCAACCTGATCTCATATCCGCTGATAAACTCTTCATTAATGGCTTTCTCCGTCCTCTCCATCTCCTGAACAACAAACAACCTGAAGAGAGCCCAAAAACCGAGAAGAAGCCACCCGCATCAGAACCATCGGTACCCGACCCAGAGCCTGAACCTAGCCCTTTTGTAACATCCGACCCGACTCCTGCCTTATCACCTTCGAAACGGTGGAAGGATATTTTCAAGAAAGAAAAGGGCAAGATCGGATCCAAAAATCAACAAGACAAGGATAAGGAGAAAGAGAAGAAGAAAGAAAAGAAGAGTCAGAGTCAAAGAGGAGGGAGTCCAGCTGAGTTGAATATAAATCTATGGCCTTTTTCGAGGAGTAGATCCGCAGGTACGAGCGGGACCCGACCCAGAATGACTGCCTCCTCGGCGGGTGCCCGGAAAGTGAGTAGCGCTCCATGTTCCCGTAGCAACTCAGCCGGTGAATCCAAGTCGAGAAAATGGCCGAGCAGTCCCAGTAGGGCAGGGGTCCACTTGGGGCGAAGCAGCCCGGTTTGGCAGGTTCGTCGTAGTGGTTCCGCTGTTAAGAGCTTCGATGCTTTGATCCGGACCGCTGACAAGGGCAGCGGTAAAAAGGAAGTAACTGAAACTCGTCGCGATAAAACCGGTAACGGTAGCATCAATAATAACAAAGCGAAAGTTTTGAATGTGAACGTGCCAATGTGTATCAGGTATAAGCATCATTTGAATTGTAGAATCGACGATAATACTGCCGCAGTTGCCGGTATTAGTACCCACCGAAGTGGCGGCAGCGATGGAAATGGTAGAAGCAGCGGACCTAACGTTGGAAGTGGTAATAACTTTTTTAATTTGCGTAATCTCTTCACTAAAAAGGTTTATTAACCCTCTGTAAACTTAGATTTGTTTTCTCCTTTCAATATTCTGTAAACTTAGATTAGTTTTCTCAGTCTTGACATTCGCTAAACGCTACTGCTATTATCAAGTAATTCAATTAGAGATTACATCTTTTACCTTTTTGTAAATTACGAGCGCTATTTTGAATATGGGCTGCCTTAATCAAATTTATTTGAAAATCTAAAATTAAAGTTATTAATGAAAATATTAAGAAAACAATGATTTGTTTATTACTTGATTGAGAATATTTTTTATATTGTTATTTGTAATTATATTATTTTTTAAATTTATATTTGTAAAATAATTTAATTATATCTAATATTTAATTTTAAGTAAAATACTAATGGATTTTTAATTTAAATTCAATATTAATTGTTTTGGCATCTAATATTTAATTTATTCAACACTTAACTTTTTTAGTATTTAGTATTTTTTAAAATTAAGCATTGATATTTGATCTACTGACTGACTAATCCAGATATGCAAGTGCAATCCTCCTAACTTAGTTTGCTCTATTCGCAAATGTTAGAGTTTGAACCATTAACATTTGCGTAAGGAATCTAATATTTCATCTTACTAGACCATTTGGTTGTTGGTTAGTATTTAGTATTTTTAATTCTTAATTATAATAAATTAAAGAGATTGTTAACTAATAAATTTAAATGGGTTAAATAATTTTGATTTTTATGATGCTATCTTTCTTCTATGTTTGTATAAATGTTCATTCAAGCCGCTTTACCTTGTTCTTTTATTAATTATTTTTAATAATATAATTAAATTATAAATTTATAATTCATTTATGTATATTGTTTTCTAGTATATATATAATTTATTCATTTTTAATCGAATATATATATATATATATATATATACACATCTACGACTTTAATAAAAAAAATGGCGATATGAAGAAAGGGCAGGGAATGCATTTACACTAATGATCTCATTTAAAAAAATGCAAATGAATCGATGAATGAAGGGATTTGAGTTTTGGTATTCCTACCGTATATTATATGATACGACTTACGAGGCAAGCAAAGAAGGGATCATAATTGTGTTACAGACAGGCATCAACCAATAGCTTTGCAGTTTCGTTGATTATATTTACTACTTGTTGCTATTTTTTGGGTTATGGAAGTCATAGAATTCAGAAGATTTTAGTGCATTGATCCTAGTGGCAACAGTCCTAGGCCCCAGCACAACGTCGTTTCAAAAGAAAATAAGGCATTCAAATGCACCATCCTATCATTGTCTCATTGAAAAACATGGTTGAAGTTGAAATCAAAATCAAAATGTGGCTTTCAATCAATAATCTATGTGACCGAATCAGTTCCATGAAGAATTTCCAGTTATAAGACAATTAGCAAGTGCACTGAAGGACATCCTTTTCCACCCAGAAAGAAATTGAGCGCCACTATCAGGTGACAAGGGTCCTGACCAATATTCAATGTTTGGGCCAAACTGGCTTACTGTTGGGAGTTTTCAGAAACTAGGGGATATGGACCGAATCACTTTACTTGGGCTTTGATTCGAGGACAGAAAATAGAATCCAGCCGCCGACAATCATATAATTTTCGGCTTAAGGGCACATGGTGTAGCCAACAAGAAAAATACCCAACTGTCAAAGCATAAAGCAAAAATATGTTCACTCCCTAAGACTAGCCAAGTCATTAGCCAAGTTTTATAGCCCTGGGAGCTACGCGGAAATAGAATTTCCTCTTCTCTATCTCGCTACAAACTTTATTCTCCTTCAGACGAATCAATGGCCTCCCGTGACAAGAAACCCGCGAAGCCGTCGAGCAGCCGCGCCGGTGGTATTCGCACGTTGTCGGATCTTAACCGCCCCTCTGGACGCGATTCCGATAGCGATTCCGATAACCCTCAGGAGTACTACACCGGTGGCGAGAAAAGGTTCTCTCTCTCTCTCTCTCTTTTTCCTTCAATTTTTTCTTTAATTTAATTGACGCCTTATTTATTGTTATCGAGAATCATCCGATCCTTTGCTTGATTGTTGAGGAAATTTAAAGGTTGAGGTTTGATTTGTTGATGAGTTGCTAATGTTTCAAGCTTGGTTGATTTATATGGCGTTTGAAGTGTGACAAAAAAAATAAATGAATAGAACTTAATATCGGATGAGAACATGACTAAGAACTTACTGGGGGGTGATTTTTTAGAGTGGATCATGTTTTCGCCTGGTGCTTTGGGCATATTTTGTTGGTAGATTATAAGATTTGCTTGGGATTGGAAAGTAAAACTGCCATTTCTCAGTTTGATGGTATGGTAAAGTAAAACTGCCATTTCTCAAAATAGCAGATCATTTTGAATTTATCATTTAAGTTTTGACGGATTTGCTTTAGCGTCGTATGGGAGATATAATCATATTGATTTTCAAAGGATCTTACTAACCAGGAAATGTACTCTCTTTGACGGCGCTAGTTTTGATCTTACCTGCATGTAGTGCAAGTTGAATAATTTCTGGGACAGGTATTCATATATGTTTTGTTTTAGATATTTTATTGTATTCAGTATAATTCTTGTTTTGTTAAAAAAAAACATGTTATCTTGTTTCTTATCTATTGGCACATAGAAGCATACTATTAGTAATTGTTGTAGGGCATCTTTTTCCCCTTCTCATCTGATGAAAACTTGCTGCAAACAAATTTCAACCTTCTTGATGCAGTACTTGCATGCTTGATTGCTAAAAAAGGGAAAAATGAAGAGATTTTTGGACAATATTGATCAGTCTTCGTTCAAAAGTTTATGTTGTTTGCTTCAAATTAGGTGATGTATAATTATTTTCTCATTTGAAAGTCTTACTCTATAATGCTGGGTATTTTTGGATGTAGTTTCTGTTTAGTTACAAGCTGCTAGGTTTTGACCTGCAAGTTTGGTGTGTGGTCCGGGAGCAGCTTTATTAATCAACAGACAACTTTCATTCTTTTTATCATTGATGAAACCGTTTTCATTATTTATGTCATGTTTTCTCAGAGAGTTCATTACCAACCCTGCAATTCAGTTTATTATGATCACATGCTAAAAGATGATCAACAACTCTGTTTTTTTGCAGTGGCATGCTTGTTCAAGATCCTTCTAAGAAAAATGATGTAGATGAGATTTTCAATCAAGCTAGGCAACTGGGAGCCGTGGAAGGTCCTCTCGAGCATCCTCGTCCATCAAGCCCAACAAGTTTTACTGGAACTGGTAGATTACTCTCAGGAGAAAGTGTGCCTTCTGCACCTCAGCATCCCGATTCTGTTATTCACAACATAGTTTTCTGGTCCAATGGTTTCACTGTAGATGATGGCCCCCTTAGAAGGTTGGATGATCCTGAAAATGCACCGTTTTTAGAGGTAAATGACAAGTACGATTGAACACCTCCTTTTTAAGTAATAGAGTTAAAGAAGATAAATAAAGTGACAGATGTTAAGGTGGATGATTTCTGTTCACCTTTTGGAGTGAATATAGGTACTGAGTGTGGACTTCCATATTCTTTTCTTTTCCATTTTGTGTACCTTGCAAATAGGCGTTCCATTCTATATGTTTTCAATTCTTTTATAAGTGAATTAATTTTTATGTTTCAGAATGCTGTTTCTTGTTTATTCACTACTTAGTTGCATCTCAATGCAGAGCATCAGAAAGTCCGAGTGTCCTAAAGAGCTTGAGCCGGCTGATAGAAGGTCTTCTGTTCATGTCAATCTGATAAAGAGGGAGGAGAAATTCCCCGTGGGTCTCTTGCTCTTGTTGGCATTCCTTAACCCAAAAGGTTGAAGTCCATTCGAGACTATAACTCCTATTTTTCTCCTTGCAGGAACCAGAGAAGAAACGCCAGGTAGCGTTTCAGGGTGTTGGAAGAACTCTTGGTAGCAGCAGTAGTTCGGCATCTCCTGAGCCAACTCTCAGCTCCAGTCCTCTCAACTCAGCTCCAAACCCTTCTTCTGGCTTAGTCGTGGACGAAAGTTTACCATCAACCTCTATTCAGCTTAGGTTGGCTGATGGAACTCGCATGATAACTCGCTTCAACCTCCAGCACACAGTTGATGACATCCGTTCCTTCATCAATGCATCTAGACCTGGGAGCACAACAAACTATCAACTTCAGATAATGGGTTTCCCTCCTAAACTTCTTACTGATCCATCCCAAACCATAGAGCAAGTAGGCCTTGCGAATTCCGTGGTAATCCAGAAGCACTAGGCCGGGTTTTTGCTTGGAAACTGTCTATCTTATTATCTCTACAGCTGCTTATTGTATCAAGCGGAAAAAGTTCCATTAGCTTAAAGTGATCATGAATCACTACAGTACACTGGAAGCACGTTTTTTTTATGGTTGTTTGTGATGGTGAATTGTTTGACCCCCCCTTGTTCTCTCTCTCTCTCTCTCTCTCTCTCTCGCTCTCGCTCTCTCTCGCTCTCTCTCTCGCTTATGTTTTAATCTAATAATCAGCATAACAGAACTTTTCTGAGAGGTTAGTTACGGGATAGCTGCGCTGATAACTAATAGGGTAAATTCCCTTATTAGTCATCCAACTATGGGATTCGTTCTATTCTGATCACTAGTTAAAAATCTTGCAAATTTAGTCGTAAATGTTTCAAAATTATATTAATGTGGCTACCGTTCGTTAAATTATAAAAAGTCGCTGATGTTCTTTAAAAATGGACATAGTAACATATTTACTTATCAATATTTGTATATATGTATTTCAATTTAATTCTAGCTCTGAATATTTTAATAAAACTAGCCTCCAACTTGAAACGTGAAGCTTATTATTGGCATAAAACTTGGGCAGTAAAATGTAACATTTAAAAGTTCTATAAATTTTAAATTGATCACATAAATAATTTTCTTGATAATTTAACGGACAATGATCATATTTATATAATTTTATAAAATTTTAATTTAGTAATTAAAATAAAATTAATCATATGGTTGAATGATGAATGAAGTAATTTGTTGTAAATAATATGTAGACGTGCTGAAGTTGCCAGCATAAGCACTTCATTAAGCTCATCATTTTCACTGGGTCGGGGCTGGAGAAGATCACCAACAGGTTTTTCCCCTTAACATCCAATGATGGTGGTGTATTATAAGTTTAGCTCATAAGTGGAGCATTGGACGGTGGAGTTCAATTGGCCAAAAATTAGCCTTTCATTACAATAAAGCCTATAAATAAATTCAAAATAATTTAAAATCTACCAACCCAATCAATCTTCAAGGCCTCTTGTCTAAATTAAAGTCCATACATTGGTGCTAAGCTCAATGGCATCCAACTGAAGCCCTAGCCCGAATTCCCTTTTAGTCCAAACAGTCAAAATACTGAAAACGGGCGAAGTGAGGTTTTTCATTTTCAATACGACTAACTAAAACCCCACACTTTGCCTCCATTAGCGAAAACCGACGCCTTCAACCGCGACGGTAAACGTTCCCCGGTCTCATTTCAGCGTTTGAATTCCCGCCGCAGTCATCCTCATAGTAGCATCTCTTTTCAGATCTCGTTTTCTCTTTCTACGTTCATGTATTAAATTAAGAATTGATTATTGTTAATCTTGAACTAGTAATGATTTGATTAGCAATTGTATTGAAATAATTACCATGTAGGTTTGTTTTAACTCAATACGATTTCAGGGAAAATTAATTTGGGCATTTATGTTATTATTCTGAGTTTCTTGTATGTGAAATTTTATCAAATATTTTGCGTTCACAATTTCGGATGCAATCGTTTGATTTAAACGAGTGTATTAATATATTATTAATGTTCATGGCTAAAGTTGTGGATTTTAATCTTAGGCTAAATTCATAAAGCAAATGAAGTTTGGGGTGTAGATGAGCAGACCACTTTATCTTGTTGAGCAGGTGACTTTGTCTTGATGCCGTTGAACAAGTAATACCTGGTTATTCTGAGTAAGGCTCTGTCCATCTCGAGACTGGTTGTACGTTCTTTTGGTTCGCTGTCTGCCTTGGGCTTCCAGGGATCTTCCACTGTCACAGCTCGTTCATTTCAAACTTCTGGTAAGAGTAATATACTAATATGTCACATTGTTTGTTTGCTGCTTATCTGTTGCGACTGTAATACTAACCTGGTGCTTTAATTTTTATTTTCTGTCTAATTAGGATTGAGTGGTCGTATTACTGGGGATAACTTGCCTCATGCAGAATGTTTTAGCGTTTCCAAGGTATGTTCTCATTTTGTTTTCCTTTTAAATAATTGTGTATATATAATCTATCCATTGGGGCGGGTGAATCAATTCTAGGATGGAGGATCTTGGGGTGGGGGATCTAGGTTAATGTGTTTGCTGTTGTTATTATCCTTCGTTTATAGTTAAAAAGTATTCAATGAGGATACTTATAACAGGATTTTTGTTTCTGCATCTAGTGGAGATGCCAATACCAGAATACTAATTATAGACATCATAAGATTCTGTATTGTTTGTTTCAAACTTTAACACCCTTTCTAATCTGTGCTTTTGCTCTAGCTATTTTGCATGTTCATGCACCCGTCTCTTGTTTTCTTCTCAATCATGACTTTTCTCTGTATTTTGTTCATCTATGCTACATTTTATTTGATGCAGGGTGGCCCATCTTTCCTTAGTTTTCGGAGGTTTTCAACTACAATTTTGGCTCCTGATCCGAACAGTGGTGCTTTTCCATCAGATTTACTGTCTTCAAAGACCATAATAACACCAGAGCGTACTATTGGTATGGGGATAGTAAACCACATTTCTTGTATATCTATTTGCCTTTAAAATTTTTAATAGTCATAATATGGAAGCGTAATAGTGTTTGAAGGCAATATGCATTTGAAGGATACTCTGGGATTTTCTTTGGCTTTGTAAAAGATAAAAAAGGTGATATCAAAGACGGAGGTCTGTTAATGTTTTTGTAGACACCCGTTTTTGTCCGGGTTTAAAAAAAATATTATTTATTTATTTATTAATCATCATCATTATTATTATTAGTATTAATATTTTTTTATTTTTGTAGGCACCATGTTCAACCCCACTACTCCACTACTAGCCCACTATCAATGACCACACCATCCACAAACAACCACCATCTAAAAAGGGGGAACTTTCCCTTGCAGTGCGGCGTACGCATGTTTACCCCTCTGCCTATATAATTAATAATATAAGCTTTTTGCTGGGGGAGCATGAACTCCAATCATACTCATATGAGCGAGTTAGAGAAACTCGAATGCGAGGGATTCAGACCCTACTGTGTGTTTCCACACCCCTTGGAGTTGTCGAACTGGGGTCTTCAGAGATGATCGGTCTGAAGACTGGGGCCACTCGAAGGGTGCTGGCCAGCCACGAGTTTAGCACCAAGTCTTTGAGAGACTTCGTGGTGAAAACGCTCCAAGAAGAAGTCGACGATCGGCTGGCTCTGTTGTTTTAATCGACCCCGCAGAGAACGACAAAGAATTGGTCAAAAACGAAGCACATAACCCTAGAGAACAACGAGAATAAGCCCGTTACGAACAACAGGGATACACAAGAGATCAAGCTCGAGCAGGGGCTTAAGTTACTCAAAATCTTCAAGGAGCATTCCAGCAAAACTTGCATCCTAGACGATTTTGAATTTTGCGAGGTTCGCCAGAAAGCAATTCAAGAGAAAAAGGCTAAACATCTATTGCAAAAGCAGGTGTGGGAAGGAAAGCTAGCAGCACCGGTCGAAAAGAGCAATGTAGCAACAAATGGTGACTTGATCAATCAACCTAGTATCGCTCACTCGAATGGTGATGTAAAGGTTTCGGAAAACGGTTCAGCGACAAAATCCGGAGATACCCAAAACGGTTGCTAGCCTTTTCGTGAATCCCCTTGCGGGTGGTTTGTGGTCTCTTCTAGAATATGATGAGCAGAGGGTGGAATGCAGTCAGGTTGGTGAAATTTAAGAGAACAAGGGAAAAGCTGAGGGCTTTAAAATTCTAGACTACGTATTGATAATATCATGGCATATGGGGAATCCAATTTTTGACGACATGCAAAGCATGCCAGAGGTTATCGATCCTCTGCAAAATGAAGACATTATGGATTATGAATCTGTTAATGATCTTACTCAAGCTACTATTAAACCTAATGTGACCGTGTCTAGCAATGTTCGGGAGCCGTTAGAGTGCCCTGTTTGCTTAAAGTCAATGTACCCGCCAATTCACCAGGTTTGTTCATATGCAACCTTATAATCGGTGATTACTTTCATGAAATTGCTTACGTGTACGAAATCATCGTAAAGCAATTTACAAGATAAATCTATTTTGCACATGCTTGCCATTGGCCGTATTGATTTAACCCTCACCTTTGCATGGTTACAAAGGTTCGATGTTTTATTTTGCATTGCTATTAGATCACATAGCTATGGGACCACATTCAAGTAGATATAAAAGTGAATTCCATTGTTGTTAAAGATGCGGTGACATGAGGGCCTGGGACCTAGGGTTTTTTTTAATATTTTTAATTTTATTTATCTTTATTTATTTATTTATTTATTTATTTATTTTATTCTTTTTTATATTTACATATTACATTATTTAATAATCTTGACTTTTTTAGAGATAACTTTAACAAATCAAATGTGAGTAATTTGAATCTAAATTTTAAATTTAAATTTTCGTAATTAAGACAGATAAATTAATTGGTACCGAAAGAGCGGTTCAAGGGTGTTAATCATTTCTTGACCGTAATCGACTCCCGAACCCGATACGTTTTTGGTAAAAAGCATATTAGGTAAGATGGTGTTCGATCTACCTAAATATTTTTTTAAAATGATCGGTGGCGACTCTAACTTAATTATTTAAATCGAAGCCCAATTTTAGGCCCAATCGAAAGACGGTTCCGACAGCTTGGTGACTACGCTGGGGACACGTAAGTGAGTCAGGCCGAAATTAATTTTCGGTTGTTTTTTAGCGAACATTACAAGCTTAAATTTTAATTTATTTATTTGATTCTTATTATTTATCTTTGATTATTTTTTCAAATAAATAGTTGTACTAACATTTTTTAATGATTTCAGATTTTTCAAAAATTGTCATCTCTAGCTCTATATCCGAGCTTCGAACCCTTTTAAGTGGGTGCGAAAGCGACGTCTTTGTGGGAATTTATTATCCGTTTGGGCCTAGCAATTAACCTTCGGGATTCATAAACCTTATGTCTTCGTGTGAATTTATTCTCCGTATGGGCATAAGGGAATGTATCATTTCGAGTTTAACTTAGTCTACATAAACTTGTGATGAGTTTAGGACTAAGGGTCTGGCAAGCCCAAGGGGGACCAACAAGGAGAACTCGAGTACTTTTTTTAAAACCTAAATCGGGAGAGTACAAGGAATTAGAGCTCACCCCAAAACGTCATTCCAAACCCCAAGATGTTTTGTTTCATGCCTTACTTTCTGTTCAAAACATGCGAACTAGACAAATATGCGGTTAGAATTTGTTTGAAATTAGCATGCGAGATAGAAATCATGTCCGGGTAAGAATTAAAGCATATGGGGTAAAATCATGTGGGGTAGGACATTTATTTTTTATGATTATTTTTTATTATTTTCACTTTACTAACTCTTTTCATTTTTATTTTCTTTTATTTCATTTTAATCACTTGCATCATTTAAAAGAGGTGTTGATCCACAAAAAATGTGTTTGTTAAACATGAATAATCTGCATTAATGGACAAAGGGTTGTAATACAAGAAATAAAAATACAGAGGACAGTCTATAAGGCGACTATGTATCGCATTCAATCCAGAAGACGTGGTGCCTACAATTAAAGAGTTTATCACTCTGCTGCATTATAAAGGACTCAGAATGAATCGGGTTTACATTAAGCACAATGAAAGTCTATCTTTGAAGAACTAACTGACAGAGATTGCAGGGGCAAGATGAAGAGAGTCCCTTCAAAGACAACAATGACAAAACGATAACTGAAATTAGAGACTCTTGTTGACGAATTCAAGAAACAGACAAATTAACTTCACATAGTTCCTATCAATTGAGGGCTTTAATGATGTATTCGTTGGGAACAGGTTCAACAAAAAATAAATGTCAAAGATGCAGTCATTCGAGACTTCTTGGGCCAGTACAAAAAGCAACTCAACATTTGCACGGTTCATCCAGAGAAGCCAGAGCAATTCGATAGGTTATTCAATCGGTGACAAACGAAGGCAGAATACTAGTAACATGTCAGAAGCTGTCAGGATATTTTTGTCTTTTAAAAGATAAAACACTTTTGCCTCCAATAAGGATTATTTTTAATAACAGACACATTTTTTTATCAATGCCTCAAACATTGCATGCATCATGCATTTCTGCATATTTCGCATTATTTTTCCTTTTTATTACATTCACATATCTCATCAAAATATAAACATTTTGATTCTATTCCCAGGACCTACAAAAAGCTTTACCAGCAACTTCTTGATACCCATGTAGTGTCACCATACCTGGTGGAAACCATGAAGTCCCCATACCCCAAGTGATATGACGAGAATGTTCATTGTGAATATCACGGTGGTGTCCCAGGGCACACAATTGAGAATTGTTACGCATTCAAGAGAGTCGTGCAGAAGATGCGTAACCAGAACTGGATCGACTTCAACAACTTGGGGGCATCCAAGTGAGGAAGATCATTTAATCATTTGAGGCATTATGTTTGAATTTTTTCTTTTTCTCAAGTTTTTGTAAAGACTTTTAAAGAAATTTATATTACTTTAAAGATGTTAAGCAATGAATCACATTTGCAAACTTTTAATTCTTTGAATATCATCTGAATTAAGAAACTCTGTAAATGATTCAAAGTTATAGATCTTTGACAAAGTAACATGATTTAAAACAAGGACTTTGACCTTACTCAGAATATACACTCAAACACCGTACCTTGCTCTTGCAATTAACCAATGTAACATTTTCCTTTCATAAGGTGCGGACAACATGGGACATCATTTACATATGACAATTACTATACTTTTTGTTTAAGACGTTCAATGATGATCACTATCTTTACAGATGTAATAGTCGAGTATGTGAATTTAGTTTAGGTCAGTTACTTGAAAATTGAACTCTAAAGATGAATATTTTTTACTTTCAACAACACATAGATTATAACTGGTTCTTCTTGACAATCTTAAGAAATCAAATTTGCAAATATGAGTTATTCCACTAATGTAATTGGTTATAGAGGAAACTTGAAAGTCCTGGCCTTATGAATAGATTACGTTCAAACCATGACATTGCTCGAACACTTGACAATTCAGATTTTGCTCCACTGTTATTGTCCGGCCGAAGACTTTGTGATGCGATGAACCCTTCAACTTGATAAAAATGATTATAATGTTAAGATGTCCTTCTAAAGCAATTGGTTAAACGCCCTGACTTTATGGATTCAGCTAGACAAATAAAGACAAGTTAAATCAAATTTATCTTAGCAAGAAATTTTCGGTAAAAATTGACTAAGGGAGTTAAGGAACACATGTTATAGTCAAATACACACGAGCACTCAAGAATTTCATTTTTAGACCGATATTTATGCACTATCTTAGTTAGAGGAGCCTACAAAACTTGAACAAATGGAAGACTTCAGAGAACTGAAATAGAAGGCCTAGTAATCGATAATGCTAGTTGCGTCATTTTGTCCGCATCCGACTAAAATGCCAAAGCATGATGTGATAAAAAATGACATTTTGGGTGACCGAAACCTTATAAATGAGGCCAACCTAAAGTCAACTCATCCATTTGAACATTTTTCAAAGAGCTGTAACTCTGAAAGTATTAAAAGAGCTATTGATTCCTTTGATATTCTTTGAACTCACGTTTATAATTTGATTCAATTGTGAACAATATTTTACATAATTTTTATATTTTTCCCTCCTAAAACAAGAAAAAGGAGAAAAATATTTTTAAACAGTACAATCTTAAATATGAAATGTCTGTAAAGCCAAAGCTTGAGAAGCAAATAGGGCACGATCGATTCCATGGACCAGATTGGCAGGCAAAGCACGAGACTCCAATCCAAGAGATAGAACATAACTCATTCATGTTGCATGCATCTTAGGTATACTTAAGAGCATTATCATTTTTAGCACACATAATTTTTTACAGCTTTTAGAGTCAAATTTCAACTTCAAGATGAAAAATACTCGATTCAAAAGCGCATTTGAAAATTGATGGTGGTAGCTCAACTTCACAGCGAAGGGGCTATTGACTGTCAACAAACAACTTTTTAGTTTCATTCAGAGTCAATTTCAACTTCACAACGAAGGATATTAGACTCGAGACAACACAAACTCAACTTCACAACGAATGAGCGACTAACTATCAATAAACAACTTTCCAGTTCATTCAGAGTCAATTTCAACTTCACAGCGAAGAATA